AGCAGCGTTCTACGCGGGTTATAACAAGGCTAAGAAATTCTCGAACCGCTTCCCTCCACCCCAACCCCCAATATTTTTTTTTCCATGATGGTGGCGTTATGTTCAGGGCCAAACTTCTCGGCTTGCTTGCAAGGCACGTTCTACCACATAAAGACACAGCAGCACCCGTCCGTTGGCATGGCAACAGATATCAATCGCTGAAACGGGGCAAGATCAAATCTTGCCAAAAAAATTATTTAGGTGTCATTGCTATGGACAGGGTTCATAGCACTTAAGTGATACAAAATTCAAAGGTTTTCAAGGACCTAACAAATACTTTTCAAGGACCTAAAATAACACTTGAAAATGCAGAAACTGACAATACTTTTTTACAGTACAAAAATTTGTACTTCATTTTATTTGTATGATTAGCACCATGAACGCACTCAAGTTACTATGAACTGTAAATGCTTTTTTGTTCTCAATGTGTTTCACTCTTCATGTGACTTTTAAGAGCACACTCCCCCATTGATGACATGTCGAAGCTCTTCCTATGTGGGAAGACTTTGCCTGATGAGGGTTTAACGTATCCGGTGCAATCCACTCTCTATAAGCAGCAATGCCTGACCAAGACTGCTGAAATTTGCACTTGCCAGCATAGTTCTACCATAAGCGACGCGACTGCGGATATCGGTGCATATTTGCAGTCTCTTCAAAAAAGTCAGGCTTAGCTCCACTGCTGCTGTAACCACGTAAGCACTGCCACAACTACAGTGTACTAGACGAGCACACTGTATATAACACTGCGCTATGGCTAAAGAAATGGATTGCATGGCTTGTTAGCTTGAGAGCACATAGTTGCCACACAAGCAAAAAAAAAAATCCACTAAATAATGGCTTAAGGAACTTTGACAAAATTCAAGGACTTTTAAGGACCTCTAACACATTTAAGGGTTTTTAAGGCCTTGAAACTGCTATTTTGAAATCCAAGGGTTTCAAGGACCACTACAAACCCTGTATGGCATACCTGCCAACCTAGCAAACAGGGAAATTCGTAAGACCATTGAGCGGGGAAGGAGGGCAAAGGGAGAGGGAGGGGGTTATTGATTTGTTTTTAATTTGTAGGTGTGATCGATTTGCCTTTAGCGACAAGTATAATCATGTTTTGTCGCTATAAGTCAAATCGATGCTCTGAATTATTTCCCCCATTTACGCCACTGAAAGGGAAAAAAAAATATTGCAAAAAACAAAGGAGGGGGAGGGTGTCACACACGCAAGCACAAACATCGGTGTTGCGGTCTCATAATGGTTGGAGTGGCCGAACACACGAGGATAGGGTTTCCCACTAAGGCGAAAGTCTGAAAGTGCAAATGCTCCCGAAATTCGCATCATCAAAACAACTAGCAGGGAAAAAAAAACGATTTCCGTCAGAACAACTCGCATACGTCTTCACACATGAACGGAAGGGATGGCGCAGCTGGCTGCCACGAAGGCGTGAGTCAAAGCTTTGACTTTGCTCGCTACTAGATTCTTAGGACAGGAACGCCAAAATGCTTCTCGCCTTTTTACATCTTTACCGCCTTTAATCTACAACTGCGTCAGCCACGTAGTTTCATGGTTTTGTTTTGAACAGCAGTTTTGTTTTGAATCCATGTGCTTTCAAAACTAATATGTTTTATGCTATCTATGATCACAACTGCCGCGGTTTAGTACAACAGAGCTTGCGGAAACCAGCGTTGCTTTGAGTGGTTGAGCGTTGGCCGCGCGCATACTTTCCGAGTTCTGTCAGTAACGTCATTGCCATACATGATCATGCCAAACTACCGCGGTTTTGTCCACAGCAGTTGTGGCAATGATAACCACACGCACTGTAGAAGGCAGTGCATGCGCTGGTCGTACGCGTACTTCCTAAAATTGAGCACACTGCTCTCGATCGGCCTTCGCTGAACGGTTTCGGTACTAAAGTTCATATCACACGCCGCCATCAGAAAAAGTGTTCAGAACACTCGAAGCTCAGCCCAATGGGCACATGAATTTGGTCGGGGAATTTCATGAATTCGTACTTGCCGTGCTTTCGCATCACTGAGACTCTACCTTTAGATGCACGCCTCTTAAATTCCTTTATAACAAAATGCGGTGGGCTCTCAAGAAGCCTGGAACTGACTGACCTGTTCTTTTATCAATGCGGCCGCATCTCGCACACAAATTTAGATTTTCGGAAGATTTTCATAACAACCATACAAATGGAAGAAACCGTCAAAATCCAAGTCTCCCAGACAATGTGGGAGACTTGGCAGGTATGCAATGATCACACCAATACCTATTGTTCTCTCCTGGTGGCAGAATATACTAGCAGAAAATCGTTTTTGTGGCCTCTGGAACTAGCTATGGCAATGCACCATAGCCGATTGCAGAGGCGAAGCTATTTTACTTTTTTTATTGGAAATGAAATATTTCTTGTAAAATATCAGGTAAGATTCGTAAAATCCTAAGCGCAATCGAAGTTCGTACATTTTACGGGAATATCAGAAGAGTAGGCAGGTATGCTATGGCAAAAAATGTGGTGGCTGGCATTGACGGCGTTCCCAAAATGTCAACCTAGTTGGCGAGCGAGAAAGGCGGCATATATTCCTAACATGGGAAATGATTTAAACTCCAACCAAAAGTTTTTGAAAAGCTCGACATTTCCCGGAGTTTAAATCATCTCCCAGTTTTCATACCCAACAAGAGACATCTGTCGAATGTTTACATTCAAGTTCTTAACATGCTGTACCCACATTTGTTGGCTGGGAAATTCATATTACTTGTGAATCGTTGGTAGCTGCGGCAATGCTTTTTTTTTAATTGATGAATCGACCCGTTGATAAGTATCCGCTATGGTCCACCGACCGAAGGGCGCATCGGGGGGTTTACGGATCGATGGATACATGGCGTTGTTACTTTATCTTATATTTTATCTGGTAGATTGCGACTTGTGAGTGTCCTCGCCTAACAAGTATATAACCTACACCGTGTTTCAAGGGGCCCTGCAACACTTTTTGAGCATGGTCAAAAAATGCTGCCGATCGGTAGTAGAGGCTCTCGACAACACGCAGGCCAAATATTATAGTGCAGCACGCGGCCTGGAGTTCACAATAAATTATAAAAGTCAGCTGAAAATTGCTTTCTCTTCTCCCAACAAATCACGGAAGACGCTCAATAATCACTCGTAAAAAGCCTTTCTATCCGCCACTGGCTCAATTGAACATGGCGCGCTCAGTCGTTACAGAGATCACTGTAAAAGACCGGAACTTGTTCCCACGCACGCGATCCGACTGAAAAAGCCACACATTCGAAGAAAAAAAAACAAAAGAAAAACAGCTCAAAGCCACGAGACACAGGTGACATTTTTCTTTGCCCCCTGCCATCCCTCCCTGCTCAGCTTCCAGCGCTTTTGTCGGGGCGAGAGAAGAGAGAATGCAATCGCATCATGCGACAAGTCTTTGTAACTCCACTCGCACTGAACGGATTCTTGAAATTTTTGCGGCGTTAAATTCGTGAGGCAATAAGCTCTTCCAGTGAATTCATTCCGTGGTTACATGAAAAAAGTGTTTCAAGGCTCCTTTAGGGTTAAGGTCTGCCGCTCGGTTTTAATGATGACACCAAGTGCAGGTGGCCAATGTGGCCTCCATTTCCTGCTAAAATTAATGCATGTCAGATAATTTTCAAACTGGACAGGGATTTCGCTACAATGTGGCACAACAAAGAGGAATTGTATCAAATTGGTGCAATTGGCGCAGCTGTTGCACCCCTGAGTGTCTTTCTGCATGTTACATCGTACAGCTTTTTTGTTAACGATAAGCTGAACAGTCCCAAAAAGTGGCAATTCTTGCAGTATGCTTTTCTTGTTCCTGGTTGCAATCAGGTTCACTCATATGTCCAGCACCAAGACTCACCCAAGTATTCTCGTATGCTTTAAGCACGAGACATTTTTCTGATTCTGAGGCATGAACCGAACCTGACATATTTACAGCACTATGTCCAATACATCTTTCAAGACACTGAGTGCAGACACGTATGCTCATAAACTACACAGATCAGTGAAGTGTCAAATAATTTTGCTTTCTGATAGTAGTACACACCTCTTTCATTCAGCGCTTCTCAGATAACTTTAGAACCAGTGTACTTATAATTATTATTATTATTATTATTCATGACAGCAAAGCACAATAATAAATGCGGTTTCAACAGATGTGCACGTAATGCTTTGAGAGCAAATCGAACATGGGTCCTTTTTATTTATTTCTTCTGAACGAGAGGCCCAGAAAACACCTGAAATGACTTACCGCAGAGTGGCCGTGTTGTGGGGATACATGCACCCCATTGTCTTGAAACTGACCTGACAAAATGTTCTCAACCCTCTTTCCTCCGGTGTACTGCATCACAATGGCTGCCGTGTCCGACACCATCTGTCCTGACTTATTTGTTTTTCCCTTTTCGCCTAGTTGTCACACATTTGTCAAATTTTCATGCAGCTTACCCATTTCTCAATTTCTCGTGTGCTTTTACATTTGCATATTTTACTGAAGATCATACTATGTTATTCTAGGCTTATGATACTGGTTTCATCGTGTGAGGTGAAGTGAACCACAGTGGAACTTTCCTTGTGTGAGCCATACATGGTAGTGCACTTCCTGGGCCGTGGCGAGAACCAGTCCGACTGCTTCACTGCGAGTTGCGGCACCCACGGCCATAAGAAGCGCAAGGTGAAGTCATGAATTCCCCACTGAAATGTTCTCGGCAAGAGTCCGCTAATTTTTTCGGCAGAGATGTTGCGGCGAACAAACAGAAGCACATGGTTTGGAGTGGTTTCGTGAAGTGCACGCTAGTTGACTGCTCCCATATCTCATCGCAATTATGTTACCTGATGCAATCTATACTGAACATTAGCTGTTTATCGCCCTTCTTTAGCCTGCTATTATGGTGTGCTTACGTTTCTATTTTCTCTATTTTCTCATTGATCACATGATTCACCGACTCACATAAATCTCGGTGTAGCCAGCAAGCGGAATCCACCTCTTTGGTTTGGGAAGACGTCCTCAAGGAAGTAATAAATATGACCAACAATGACACCTGCAACAAACAAACAGTCGGTATTATCCCACCATGTCTCACACAGGTTAAACCAACATGCACATTTCATTTCATTTCATTTTTATTTCCTTAAGGACCCCACTCGGGGGTATTACATAAGGGGTGGATACACAGGAAAAGAGAACATTTGAACACGTTAGTTTTCGCAGCATAGGTGATTTGTAAGATTTGTCGCGAAGGATGATGGGCAGGTGGTTGAAGCAATGGAGCAGGGAAGGTCGTTCCAATCCTTGACGGCGCGGGGAAAAAAAGAAGCGGAAAAAGCGGCAGTTCTGTTACGATAACGGGACACTTGAAGTGGATGGCTTGTGCGGTGTGAGATGTATGTCGGGGGGATGATGTAAGGAGCTGCATTGAGAGAAGAATGAAAAAATTTATGAAAGAGAGAAAGGGTGGCGATACGGCGGCGAACAGAGAGGGGTGATAAACCGGATTGTGCTTTCAAGGATGAAATACTGATGTCGTATGAGTACTGGGAGTGAATGAATCTAGCGGCGCGATTTTGAACAGATTCGAGGTCGTTAATGAGGTATGTTTGGGGCGGGTTCCATATGGGGGAGGCATATTCGAGTTTCGATCTGACGAGGGACTGATATGCTAGCAACTTCACATGTTTTGGTGCATGACGTAGGTGACGCTTCAAGAAGCCCAGAGTTTTATTTGCCGATGAAATGACGTTAGTAATATGCGCATTCCAAGTGAGATCGCAATACAATGTGACACCTAGATACTTGTAGGATGGTTGTGATTGTACAGGGACGTTGGCGATATGATATGAAAAAATGAAAGGATTCTTACGGCGGGTAAAGGTAACAAGTTTGCATTTGTTAGGGTTAAGAAACAAAAGCCAATTATCGCACCAATCTTGAATGTGGTTAAGATCGTTCTGGAGAAGATTTTGGTCGTGAGTGTTAGTTACTGTCCGATAGATTACACAGTCATCTGCAAACATGCGGATTTTGCAGGATACGCTGAGGGGTAAGTCGTTTATGTATATCAGAAACAGGAGGGGGCCAAGAACTGAACCTTGAGGTACGCCTGATGTTACTTTGAGGTAAGCAGAAGATTTACTATTGACATGCACAAACTGAGAACGGTTAGTTAGAAATGCTTTGATCCAATTTAGTACACTTGGGTCTAAGTTTAACTGAGATAGCTTTAGCATTAGTCTTTGGTGGGGTACTGTGTCGAATGCCTTTGCGTAATCTAGAAAGATTGCGTCAGTTTGTAAGTTGTTGTCAAGGTTAGCATGCAGATCGTGAAGAAATATTGCTAGTTGTGTTTCGCAGGAGAATCCTTTCCTAAAACCATGCTGGCTGGGGTGAAAAAAGTTATTGGAATCTAAAAAGTTTACAATCTGAGAGTAGATGACATGTTCCATGATTTTGCATGGGACGCTTGTTAAAGAAATGGGACGGTAGTTCAATGGACAGTTCTTATCACCTGATTTGTAGATGGGAACGACCTTGCCCATGTTCCAGTCATCTGGAAGAAGGCCTGTGGAGAGCGACTGCGCATACATCAAGCACAGAAATGGCGCGATGGTGTTATGGATGTTTTTTAACACTTTTGAGTTAATATCGTCGACGCCACCCGATGAGGACAGTTTCATGTTTTGAATAATGCTTGAAATACCACCTGCGCAAAAAACAATTGAGCCCATAGAGGATGTCAACAGCACCGGGGCAGGAGAGGAAGGTACGCTAGATTCGTTAGTAAACACAGATGAAAATGCGCTGTTAAAAGCATCAGCACATTGATCATCTGAGAGTATGTGACCAGAATCATTAGTAAGGTGGATGGTGCTGGTAGGCCGAGGGTTCACTATCTGCCAGAATTTACGTGTGTTATCTGTTAGCATGCCTGGTAAATCCTGGTTCAAAAACGTATATTTTGCGTTACTAATAGCGGTAGTATATTCTTTTTCGGCTGCGTTGTATTTCGCCCAAGCTACAGGCGTCTCGTTTGCTTTTGCTGCGCGAAAAAGGCGCTTTTTCTATTCGCTAGTTTCTTTAGTTTGTTTGTAAACCAGGGTTTCTGCGGCGTGCTACGGAATGATGTTGTGGGAATAAATTTGCTAATTAATTTATTCATCTTATTTTTAAAAATATCCCAATTATTGCTCACAGATCGGGAGTGAAAGCTATGTTCGAAGTCTGGAAAGAAGTGTTTGAGTTCTTTGTTAATGGCCTCATAATTACCTTTATCGTATAAGGTAATTGTTTTCTTGAGTTTGTCGCGCCGCTTAAGAGGGAAGGAAAAAACTGCATGTATTACTTTGTGGTCACTAATTTCGGGTAGGTATGAAATGGACGATAAAGAATCTGGGCGGTCGGTTAGTATTAAATCTAGGATGTTAGCACAGCCGCCTGATATGCGCGTGGGCTCTGACACAAGTTGAGATAAGTTAAAATTCAAACAAACGTCTATGAAATCTTTCGTTTCGACATCGTATGCCGACGAGGGTGCAGGGTTATGCCAATCAATTTTCGGGAAATTAAAGTCCCCAAAAAGTAAAATGTGAGCGTTAGGGTAGGTGGTCGTGAGTGTGCTCATTATATTGTTTAAATCACGTGAAAAACCTGTATTGGTGCTCGGTGGCCTGTAGCACACCCCGAGTAGGAATGTTTGAGGGGAAGCGTGGCAAATTAGCCACAGAATTTCAAAGGCAGATTTTATGTTAACAGCAGAACAGGGTGGTTCTGGGCCAACAGCGATTAGCACACCCCCGCCCCGGCCGCGTTTGCGGTCGGTGCGGAATAACTGATAATCGGGTAAATCCGAAAGCACTTCGGCGTCAGTAACTTCATCGGTTAGCCACGTTTCTGTTAGTACCAAAATATTACTGTTGGAAGACGCCACAACGTTTGACACGAGTTGGCACTTCGGCATGAGACTACGAACATTAGTAAAGATAACAGAAAAAGAAAGTTCACGACGTGTTTGGATTTGGCGGTGGTGTGGTTTATTCTGCGGGCGCGGTGATCGCTATGCGACTTCTATAACCGATTGTGATCCGTGGTCAAAAATGTACTGTTTGGAACCCATATACAAAGTTTTGAAACGGATCTGAAATTTACCCGATTTCTGCTTAGCGAAAGCAACGAGATGACGGCGGGCAGTACGAACTGAGAGGGAATAATCTTCGCCAATGCTGAAATTTGTTCCTTTCAATTTTTTGGCATTTGAGAGGGTGTTTTCTTTGGTTTTGTAGAATGCGAACCTGACAATTATCGGGCGGCAACGATCATTGGTGTGGCGGCCGAGGCGATGCACTCGGTCAATTTCTTTCGGGTCAATTTTTATTTTCAAGTGTTTCAGACAGTGGTTAATGATAAGTTCTTCTGTTTCAATATTTGTTTCTTTGGCGTTAGTATCTGGAAGGTTATAGAAAATTAAGTTGTTGCGGCGTGACCGGTTTTCTGCGTCATCCAGCCGTTTTTCAAGTTCGGAAACTAAGTGCGTGGTTGCGGTAGTTTCGGCTTGAATTGCGGCAATGTCAGCTCGTACGGGCAAAATATTTTGGTTATGGCGTTCTAGTTCGGTCATGCGCTTTCCTAGATCCGACAATGTTTTGTCGGTTGTGAGGAGTTGCTGCTTTACTTCTTCAAAATCGGATATTAGTTTGTTTTGTCCAGCGCTAATCTTTCCGAGTTCTGCGAGAATTTCATTCATTTCCGGACCAGGGTTAGTTTCAACGTCACCACATAACAACAAGAGTACGGAGTAAACGGCATATAAACACTCGGCAATGATAGCGACAAGACACTGTGGGCCCGGCAGCTGGATTAGAAAGTAATCACTAGATTTTTTTGCGTAAAGACTGCTGTGCTTACTAACCTGCATTGTTGGGAGGAACGGGTAAGCGAACTGCATTGTGTCACAGCTGCCAAGCCCACAAGCTGACGCCGGTGACCGTTCGCGATATATAGGTGCTCGGAGTGGTGATGTTGACTTCGATGGGGCTGTCCAAGGTGAAGTGGGGGAGGAGTAGTCAAGCCACGGCGCTGGCAACAGCGTCGGAGCGGTAGCGGAGGGGGGCGGGACAGTGCCTGCTTCGCCATTGCCAGGCAGGAAGGTGCAGTTTGATGATGGATCCAACGAAGTGATTGCCAGGCCGGGCATCAGCAGGCGAGCGACAGTTACAAGGAACACCTGCATTGTTGGGAGGAACGGGTAAGCGAACTGCATTGTGTCACAGCTGCCAAGCCCACAAGCTGACGCCGGTGACCGTTCGCGATATATAGGTGCTCGGAGTGGTGATGTTGACTTCGATGGGGCTGTCCAAGGTGAAGTGGGGGAGGAGTAGTCAAGCCACGGCGCTGGCAACAGCGTCGGAGCGGTAGCGGAGGGGGGCGGGACAGTGCCTGCTTCGCCATTGCCAGGCAGGAAGGTGCAGTTTGATGATGGATCCAACGAAGTGATTGCCAGGCCGGGCATCAGCAGGCGAGCGACAGTTACAAGGAACACCTGCATTGTTGGGAGGAACGGGTAAGCGAACTGCATTGTGTCACAGCTGCCAAGCCCACCCTTTAGCCGAGCAAGCTGTCGAGCAAGCTGTCGCTACAGCCGAGCAAGCTGCTAGCCGAGCAGCCGAGCAAGATGCTAGCCGAGCAAGCTGTCGATACAGCAAAGTATGAATACCCCAACGAAGAGACAACTTTTGAAACGCATTGGTAGACAATTTGCTGCTGCAAAGCCTCGCATGACCCCCAAGGGCCAGCTATAACCAAAGGTAATTTCTTCAAGTTTATTTCACTTTACACTGGCCAACACTCCCCAGAGCTCTATGATGTTTCATAAGTATGTGCAGCCCAGTGCAAAAGAAATGCCATGGTTGAACATAGTTACACAAACTCTGTCAAGCAATTGCAGCAACTACCACACCGCTGCAGTATCCTGCACATCGGCAACACTGCTCAGCCCACATTTCTCTTCAAATTGCTGGTGTGGGTGTCACTTGGCAGAAGATAAGGTCT